ACAAATAGAGGGTCGCGTGACGAGAGAGGGAAGATGGTAAGGAAGAGCGGAGGCGCAAGCCAGCCTTGGCTAGAGAGGCAGCAAGCTGGCAGCCCCTTTCGCAAGGCACCCCCTAAGCCTGGTTAGGGGCGAAGGCGGCGAGCCGCGGAGGCCACAACACGACCGCCGTCCTCATTGGTCGACGCGCTTGGCCTGGGTGGGGCTCCGGAAAAATTGGAGGGGATAAAAATCCCCTCTAAATAGCTGCGGCTGCGGCCGCGAAAAACTAGAATCCGCTCAGCCGGCATCGAGTGCGCGTCGGTTCGGTTGCACGAATTATTTGCCAGCGATCCCTTACGTGTTAGTACCGAAGTTTCCTACAGTGATTACAGCGTAGGGGAGGAACAACGCACGTTCCTTCGGCCGCCGCGTTTTCAAATATTCCCAACGGACTGCTACGGAAAACAAGGAACATCGTTCGGACGATACTGTTTCGGTGTTTCTTTCTTTCGTTTCCTTTAGTTCCCGTTTGGACTTCGGTGTTCCGAGTGCACTTCTTTGTTGGGGATATGCAGTGACCGGGACTTTTTCTCTCGAACATTTTACGGAGTGACTCGCAGAGGATACCATTGTGCGCGCCAGGATTATCGATACACAAGTTGGACTAGTTGGTTGTTGTCTTCTTTCCCCGTATTGGAGGAGAGTGAGAGAGGCTGAGCGGTGAACGATGCACCTACCGGAAGGACCATTAGGCATGGAGAGTTACAACGCGATACGCGAGTCGCTGCAGGTGCACTGCGATCTCGTGAGGACCGGAAGTCCGTCCATCCTGTGCAGCGCGTTACCGTCACACTGGAGGTCGAACAAATCGCTGCCCGTGGCCTTCACGGTCGTCGCCCTCGACGAGGTCAACGACGGCACCTTGGTCACCATACGCGCCGGGAACGACGAGAACTGCTGCGGCGAGCTCAGGAATTGCACCGCGATCATGAAGAACCAGGTCGCGAAGTTCAACGATCTCAGATTCGTCGGTCGTAGCGGGAGAGGTCAGTGTCTCCACCGAAATCTGGATGATCTACCAGCGGTCTGGGACACATCGGCAGGAAACTAACCGCACGTTCGTTTCTTTCTTACAGGAAAGTCGTTCTCCCTGACCATACAGATCAGCACAGTGCCGTTTCAAATAGCCACGTACACCAAAGCCATCAAAGTCACCGTGGACGGACCAAGAGAGCCGCGATCCAAGTCGAGTAAGTTCAACGATGCTCTAACTATCGAAACTCTCGATTCCTTTGGCTCGCAAACGATCAAAATTCGAGACCCATCTGAATCTTCCACTATCAATCGACTGAAACACGTTCTTCGCGTCGAAGATCCATAATATTCACGTATACTCGATTTAATTATCTGAAACATGAAGCTATTCCAAAAATAATACTCGCAAACCGTGGAGAACGCGAATCGCCAGCCGAAAAATCCTTGTTCCAAGTCACCGAACCTCGGCCAGCGCAGTTGCCGCAAAACGTTCGTCGTAGCTCTCTCCGTCGTTTAATAATCCGGTGGACCTCAAACCGCGAGCCGCGGCGGCGTCGGCGGTCGCAAGCCTCGGGAGTCGTTTACACACGTGCGCGTGCATAAGGGTGGCACTGCTCGCGGCGCGCGCGCGCGAGATCCCTCGCGTACAGACACGGGGAAACGCGTGAAAACGCGTGCGTGTGTCGCCGGAAGGTTTGGCACGGTTTCAACCGTGTCGGCGACGGTCGCCGTCCTCTCGGCGACCGGTGGTCCCGCGTTTATTCCCTCCGGGAGAAGCTGCAGCGATTGGTCCCCGATCGTCCGCGTGTACGTTGTACCGTGGACGCGCGTGTTGATCGCGTCGGCGTTTCACGGACGGCTCAAAAGAAGAGCTGGAAGATTCACGGGTGGTATACGCGCTAGCTGGCGGCCATCAAGCCTCGTCTGTGCAAAGGAGCCGCGTTTATGCGTTTGTTTATCGCGGCGCATATGGCGGTAGCATGTGGATCGTAGCCGAGGCGGTCGTGTAAACAGACGATCGCGGAGAGCGTCGTTAATCCGACGTTTTACGGGGGCAACGGGAGCCTTTTTATCCCGTGCCATCCGCTACTCTCTTCCTCAGTTCGTTAGGCGTTCGCCGGATTTTCCGTCTCTCGTTGCGAGATTCATGATATCCCGTTGGCTCGGTCTCTCGCAGACGTCGTCCTCTCTCAGCGCGCCGGACTTTTATTAGCTAGTTGAGGACCCGAATCGAACACGTTACACGTTCCTCGAAGATTATACCTGGCGCTCGAGGGATTGGGACGGGGAAGTTCGCCAAGGCTGGCTGCGAGAGGGTGGAGGAGGGAAACCTTGATCGCGGGTCTTATTTATAGAGCCGAAGGAATCGCTGCTCGGGTTCGCTTGGCGGACTTATTATAGACGCAGCTTCGATATCTGACCGAAGGATGTTCTCGTTTGATTACAGATTTCCAGTACGGACCTGGATTCCCTACGTTAGGACTGCTCAACCCGTGGGTAGACGTTGCGTACCTAGGGCACGCGTGGCACATGCCTCATCCCGCTTTCGTCAAAGGTAAGTTGAACTGCTTTCCTGAAGTTTCTTGCGGAGTTGAGAGAGATGGCCAATGTTTCTTTGGATCGCACGTTCTTGGACCTCTTGTACACGTGCCGTTGTTTTCGAGTTCGATTAGAATTTAATCCGCTAATGCTTTCAGCTCGAATTTTCTCACAAAATCGCAATCCATTTAACTGATACTTGAAGCTTCTGTCGTACCATAAACATAACTCAAAATTCACTAACAGAAAACAGTTTCCTCACAATGCTACTAGCTAATCGAATTACTCGATTCCGCGATTCATCTTCGACGCAGAGAATCACAAGAGCTCATCGAGCAACTAGCAAACACGAGGTTACGCGTACAAGAGGGCCCAGATAATCACGAACACAGTCCCCGAAACAGCGCCTAATCGCTGCGTCCCTTTCAACCTTAGCCTCCCTTCGCAATCAATCAAAATCCCAACAATACAACTCGGTCCCGTCCACGCTGCTCCTCCGCGCGCGATGAAGAGCGAAGGAAAAAAAGGGCCTCGGAAGAGCGGACACGCGTTCACGAGAATAGTAGTCGGCGTTATCGATTTCGCCGGAGTCCGCGACGCCTGCCGATGATTCATACTCCGTGGCTGGACCGAGGGGTGAGCCTGAGCTCCCTTTTCCCACAACGGACCCCTTCGAACCCCCCCTATTCTGCCACTCTTTCTCTCTCTTTCTCTCTCTTAGCCCTGTCGCGCAACAATGCGACTTAGCTCCTTTCTCGCCCACTCGGCTATCTCTCACCCTCGCGCAACGCGAACTTTCCGTTCCGAAGAAAATCTAATCGTTTTGCTGTTCTTCATCAGGAACCATACCGATGACATCGACGGACATATTCCCGCCGACGTTCCCGCCAACGGTGCTGCCGCCTTACCCGTTCGACCACATGAAGTACCCGCCAGACTACAGGCTACATCCCAACACCACCACCACCACCATGGCCAGCTCGCAGCAAGTCATCCCCAGGACCCCGTCCAGAACACCACCGAGGAGTCCAAGCGAGTCCGGAAGCGAATCGACGGCCGAAGAAATCCGCAGCGCGTTCGTTCCCATCAGATTGAACGCGTTGCCGATCGCTCCACCGGTCTTGCCCGCGACCTCGTCTTCACCGGACCCAACCACCGTGTCCAAGAGGCCAGCGGAAGGTGTGAGGAACGAGCTGAAGGCACCCAGGACGATGGTCTCGCAGAAGGCGTCGAAGAGGTCACCACCGCCCACGAAGGTCCCGTCCCCGGTGCCGGTGAAACCGCCAGTCTGGAGGCCTTACTAGGCTAGAGTGTAGGCTGACGTGATTTGACGATACGCAGGGGTGTGCAGGACTCCCGCAGGAAGGCTAGTGATTAATCGGACAACGTCCACAGCGAGCCTGTACAGATAGTTTTTCTCCTGTGTTCGATAGTTCTCGTTACTTTCGACTTAATCGCGTCGCGCGTGGTACGCGATCGCTCTTTCGTTGCGCGGGTTTTCTTTTCCCGATTTTCATTTACGTTGTCGCTGTCGGACGTTGGATTCGGGGTAACGACGTCGAGTCGGTTCTTCGGTTTTACGAAGAGGGTAATTGGATACGAAGTAGTTACCTTTATGGGGATCTTAATAAGTTAAACACGGTGATCGAGGGTATCGTCGGAGGCTGGTCACTTTCGGGCCGTCGATCGTTGTGCGCAATTCGCCAGAGAGAGTATTATTGTACAAAGGTTGTGTATTGTTACACAATTTGTATATACGTGTAGATAGTTCGTGGACAATAATTGTAGAGAGAGATTATTATATATATATAACTATTGGTGCGCGTGCGCGCGTGTTGAGTTGTGTGTATGCCTGTTTGCGAGCACGAGAGAGAGTGAGTGAACGAGAGAGAGAGAGAGAGAGACCAAAAGACAGAGATATTAATATTATTTATAAGCCAGAGATCTAATTTAATGTAAACAGATGGTATTACATAGAGACGGGAGGAGAAGAATAAAATCGAAATCGATGCGATCATTTAAATCCTGATTTTTATTATTTCAACTCCAAGAAACATCCCTTACGACATCAATTCTATAGCTGAATTAACTATTCAACATCGTTAACACCTTAAGAAACTCCTCAAATAAAATTGCATATCAATTTCCAAGTAATTGAACAAACTTTGCTGCTTCGTGTTCTAGCAACACGTTCCTATCACAAACTTAATAATTCACTGTTCAAACTCCAACAAACCAAGGACCACAATTCCACCATAAATGCTCGACATTTGCCCTACATTCACAGCGTCATTCTTAAACAACCTTCACAAGATTCCTTCAAAAACAATTCCCATCATGACTAACTTTCATCAAACTCCTTCAAACCCCACTCGCATTCGACTTCCACAATCGTCCTCAACTCTTCCACGCAAAAGCCGTCTCCCCTCTTCGAATGAACACATTCCCGTGCCGAGTCCCTCATTAACGATTCCGTCGGCCGCAATCTCGGCCACGAGGTTCACCGTTCGAAAGAACGGCCAGGGAGACCGTTCCAACGTGCCCGGTGAACGACGTCCTCGGATCCGCCTTGCACGCGCTGGAAGCGACCAGAGGCAACCGTGAAAGAGATTGAAACGCTTCGTGCCGGTGCAAGGGGAATCCATATTTTCCTCTCTCTCTCTCCCTCTCTCTCTCTCTTTTTCTCCTTGTCCCTCCCGATCCAGCCTTCTGTCGCGATTTAAATCTGAATGGTCGTTCCGCCGCGGTCGTTCGAGGTTGCCGCGTGTGCGTACGGGTTCCCATACGGCCCCGCGCAAGGGTGGAGAATGGTTTATATTGAGGGGAGTGCGTGAGATCTGTATTAGTACCGATAGGCCAGCGAGAAACGACAGTGTCTCTCATCCTCCTCCGTTCCCCAGCGACAGAAACGACCCCGTTTTATCTCCCGTCATGATCGTTTTACATCCCCGTAAGACTGTTACAGTCCGTAGCGAACGGGTAACGGCGAGATTCCTCGGCTACCAACACGCGAATCGTGACAGCCACTTTTATTTGTTCGTTCCGCGGGGTAATCATTCGACAGGGACGGACGGGGCGGGAAGGAGGGCGCATGAAATTTCGACGGCCGGTGATTTCCGGTCGGCAAACGCGACGAGGAATGCCTCAAATTCGACGCTTCCAGCGGATATCGTGTTACGATAGGCGAAGCCCCGCTCGCCACTATGTCACTGTGAAACATAACCTAGGACAAGGGATTCCATTCCGCGCTCGACGGAAAGCGTCTCTCTCCCGGACGCTCCGCTTTCCCTCTGTTTCGTTTTGTTCATTTGTGTGTGCGTGTGTTTTTTTTTCGTTATTTTCCGTTTTCT